GTGGTAAACTGTGGTCAATGACATGAGACAAAGTATATGTGAACTGCTGTATGCAAAGTGAATTTGCTCTGTAAATCTTCACCCAATTAAAAAAAAAAATTACTTGCCTTTAATATATAATGGTCTGCCAAAAAAAAAAAGAAAAAGATGATGATAATGATGATGATGATGATAGCTACCATTTGTCTGGAGGTAATTACATGTGATGCACTATGCTGAAAGCTTTACATGGATCATCCCATTTAACAGACACAATTTATGATTATTATTCTGCCATTTTACAGGTAAGAAACTTAAGCCAAAAAATCTTTCCCATAAGCTTCTGTTTGCTTTTTTAAGACACAATCCTTAATCATATAAAAGGGAAATGAGTGAGGTAGATGGTGGTGGTATATGCTGTCCAAAATGAGATTTTTTTTTTTTTTTAATGAACTTTTGGCAAAGTTATTGTATTAGGGGCCTGTGCTGCATGCCACTGAGTGCTAGACAAAGAAAACATGCTATCCCAACCTGTCAAAACCACAAAATCAACAGCTCTATCTTTTCTTCAGAAGCTAGGAGTTTAGGAACTAAGCTAACGTGTCACATATATGTATTCATTTTCTAAATTCAAGCATAAATCTTAGTTATCTCAAAGAAAGGATAATGTCAATAAAGTATAAGGACCATTTAAAAGTAACCTTCCAAACCCACTGCCATCAACTCGATTCCAAACTCAGAGTGACCTTATAGGAGGAAAGAGTAGAATTAGCTGATAGGGATTCCAAGGCTGTAAATCTTTATGGAAGTAGACCACCACATCCCTCTCCTGTGGAGTGGCTGGTGGGTTCAAATTGCACCAGTCTTTTGGTTAGCAGCCAAATGCCTTAACCACAGCCTTAATCAGAGCTCCTTAACTAACTTTCAGGCAGGTATAAATGATATTTCAATGTAGGAGAGTATTTCCTTTACATTATCCAGTATTTAACAGTAACATCAGAATGTTATTGTTATATGCCGGCAAGTCAGACCCAACTCATAGCAACCCCTCCTTGGGTTTCTGAGGTGGCATCACTACGGAACTAGATCACCCAACCTTCCTTCTGAGGAGTGGCTGGTGGGTTTGAACTGCCAGCCTTCTGGTTAGCAGTCAAGTATCTTAGGCACTACACTACCAGAACTCTTAGTCAATTAAAATGGAAACAATGTACAAATATTGTGTTTTTAAAAGTGAAGTAAGAGTTGAACTTGATAATTTCCTCAGGAAAATTAATGTAAAATTTTAATGTATTTCACATCAAGAATAATCAAATACATAGATAAGAAGGGCACAGGGAGGGGGTAGTCACAGGGAGGAGAGCTTTTTATTGTTGGGATTGTAATTGGGGTCATGAAACCAAACATGCATAATTATTGAGAGTAAAACGAATCTCCTTTGTAAATCTGCACCCAAATCACAATAAAAAATTTTAAAAAACAGAACAAAACAAAGTTAGACTTAAAAAAGGAAAAGAATTAGAGTGCTTATGAAAAATCTGCCACATTTTGCTTGGGTATTTTTATTCTATATAAATTTTTCAATTGATTTCAAATACATTTACCTTTCTTTTCTCCCCCAATTTGTAAAGTATCATTTTGGAGAACCCAGCTTTCAGTTCTAACCTTAAATCAACTCACAATATTAAATCCCTTTACCATGGACTAATAGACACCTATGAGCAGTTTAAAAAAAAAAACATTTTTGATGTACCTGTACCTCGCTCAAATAATTGGCCTCAAAAATGACATTTCATATATGGAGTACACAGATCATAACCTGATTTTAGTATTTTGTTATTTAAAATACTAGTATCAGAGGTTGTAGTTATGAAACCACACACACAGTCAGGGTTTGAGATAACCAAAAAGGAGTATCTCCACTATTCTATACATCTCCCTGAACTGCACAGAAAGGGGTAAATGTGCCTCAGGGTTCTCTGTATCTTCCTATGGGCAGCACTTATATGTTCTCATATGTTAAGAAGCATACTTTCAACTAGTAAAATATTCTTTGATAACACATTACCCTGGGATATTGTATTACCTGTTTCCTTCAAATTGTGGCTGATATAATATATAAAGACCACTTAGCAGAGTGTCTGGCATATAACAAGTGCTTAGTCAATTAGATATCATCATCATCATCATTAAGGGCACTAGGGAAGAATGACTAAAATGGTGGCCTAAAAAAATGAACCTACTTTCAAAAACCCAGTATTTTTCGAAAGGCCAAATTATGATTAAGTCTATGATAGTTTCAGTAATATACAGCTAGGTGGTTTTAATACACATAAATTTTCGTAATTATCTGAAAGTCTTTCTGAGAAGTCTGTATTCTTTTACCTATGCCCAAATTGAAGCTAACCTGATAGGAAAATCATATGAAAATCCTCAAAGTAGAAAAAATATTTTCTATATTAATATAAGGTTCTATTTTTTTTAAATGGAATAGTAATTATCCATTTCTATGTAACAAATATAAATTTGCCCATCTACGTGATAGGTACAAAAATATTAGCATAAGAAACATACACAAATCTAAATAGATTGAATCAAAAGAACAAGTGTTTCATAAAATGTACTTTATCATCAGAACAGGATAATTTCCTATGTTTACGACCTATTTATTATGTTATTTTTACAAGTACCAAAGTCCCTCCATTTTTGTTTTCTGGCTGGATATACATGAATATAAAAAGCTACTGATTTCCACACTGCCCGCCCCCACCCCATCAGATCAGGGTTAATAGGAAGTTGTGGCCTATGAACAGCCTTCTGAAGTAGGGATGGTTTCCTCTTTAACTTGGTCTTGAACTCTATCATCAGTCATCCTCTTGTTGATTTCTCTTCTGTCAAAGGAAAGCAAGAGTACATTAAAATAGCACTTTGTAACTGGGATATTTGCTCAGCTGAGATAACTTTCTCTGTTAGCAAGTATAATTTTCTAGAGGTCTTGGCAAAGATGTCGTTGAAAATTACCATGGAAAAGCATATGTTAATTCACTAAACTAGTTTATCATTTTGGTTTCTGGGCAAGTTGTCGTCAGGTATTGAGTCTTTTCTTCCAAAGATACACACATTGCCATACAGAGACACACAAAAATACTCTTATTCCTCTTGAGAAACCAGAGCAGAGATAAGATTTTCTCTTAACCTTAAAACAGTACACGTGGTCAAGCTGAAAGAGTTCCAGCAAGATGGCAGACTAGGCAGAAGGACTGCACAGACCCTCTTCAACAAAGAAAAGGGAAACCAATTAACACAGACACAAAAGATAATCTTGGACTCCTGAGCCTTGAAGGATACAAAACTGGACTAAACCCCAACTAGCAGAAGAATTTGCGTGAAAATACCAAAACAGGAGACACACGGAGCTTCAGTCTGGCAGCGGCATAAGCAACCCTGACGGCACAGACGACAGGGCTTGGAGATTCCCGAGTGGTGGTAGGACCTAAGAATTAACCCAAAAATCACCCTGCTAGCCAGAGACTGCACGGAGGACTGTGCACGGTGGCTGGGGAACAAACGGAGAAGGTGAAGAGAAAGGTGGGCTGAGCTGTGGACTTTTGCCGGTCTGGAGGACACCGCCATTT